TCACAGCTCCTTTGTTGAATCACTTAACTCTATCTTTCTTGTTATGATCTCTAAAAGAACCCAACCTAAGAACGTTAATGACTTAACTCTATCTTTCTTATTATGATCTCTAAAAGAACCCAACCTAAGAACATTAATGACTTTCGACCTATAAGTTTTATTGGGTGCATATACAAATTATTCTCTAAAGTTTTGACCAAAAGATTGTCCAATGTATTAAACAACATTATTGGAAATTGTCAACATGCCTTTATACCTGGGAGACAGATTGTTGATGCCATTCTGATTGCTAATGAAACAGTGGATGATGCCATTAGATACAACAAGAAATGTATTCTATGCAAACTTGATATGGAAAAGGTATTTGATTATGTTAATTGGGATTTCTTAGATTACATGCTATTGAGACTTGGTTTTGGTACTAAATGGAGAAGATGAATAAGAACATGTGTCACCTCAAGTAGTTTTGTTGTGATTGTTAATGGTGGGCCTTTCTCTTTTTTCAATGCCTCAAGAGGGCTCTGAGAGAAGGGGATTATTTTTCTCTCACTCTATTTATCATCATGATGGTAGCTGTGTCACTTCAACTCATTGAGAAAGAAAAAACTTTGAATCTGATTAAAGGGATCACTGTGTACAAATCTGAGTTGGTAGATTTGTGGAACAGTTCCCAAGGGAAGATCACAGTTTGGTTTTGGGTTGGAAAGAGGCTAAACTGCCCATCATTTATCTAGGGGTTCCGCTGGCCACCAAACACAAAGTAGGTGCGGGGAACCAGTGATTGAATTGTTCAATAATAGATTATCTACTTGGAAGAAAAAAATTTGTCCAAAGGTGCAAAACTGGCTTTGATAAAATTAATTGCGACTTTATAATGCAATTGCATTCTCTGGTCCAATTGTTGTTTTTGTTTACGTATTCCTGATTTACCCATTAGGTCAATCTAGTTGGTTCTTTGTGTCTAGTTTTGGTGTAACAGCTATATTTCGATTCATCCTCTTTTTCCAAAGGTTTCACAATTGGACTCTGCTCTGCTATGCTATGCGTTATTCATGGTCCTATCATAAAAAATACTTTATTTGAGGATGGCGATGGTGCAAATAAATTATGTGCTTTTAACCCAACTCAAGTCAAAGAAATTTATTCAATGATCACTGCTAAACGTTTTTGGTCCCAAATCTTTGGTGTTGCTTTTTCCAATAAACGCTGATTACATTTCTTTATGTTATTTGTGCTAGTAACTAGTTTATGAATGTGTGCTCTTTGAGTAGTCGGTCTGGCTTTGAACCTATGTGCCTATGACTTCCTTTCCCAGGAAACCTGTGCAGCAAAAGATCCTGAATTTGAGACTTTCTGCACCAAAACTATTCTTTTAAACCGAAGTATTCATGCTTGGATGGCGGCTCAAGATCAGCCTCCTGAAAACCTTATATTCTCTAAGGAGGTTCTACCACGTGAAAACGCTCTTTAATGGAACTTTAGCTTTAACTGGTCGTGACCAAGAAACCACTGGTTTTGCTTGGTTGGCCGGACATACCCGAAGCACCCTTTCCAATCTCTTTATTTACTAGTTATCGGTGCTCAATATTCCAACAAAAGTGGTTAAAAAATTGGAAAAGATTCAATGTAATCTTTTATGGAGTGACAGTGACAATTGCAAGAAATAAACCTTGTCAACTGGTTGGAAGTCAAAAAATCTTTGAAAGATGGGGGGTTTGGGGTTGAGACCCTTAGTAAAACTAAACAAGGCACTACTTGGGAAATGGAACTGGAGATACTGAAATGAAAATGGCAGCTTCTGGAAAATGGTTATAGATTGCAAATGGTTTAATGGCAACCCGTATAATCTCTCTTATATTAAAAACAAAAATTATGGTTTCAGTCTTTGGAAGAACATCATGTCCCTCAACAATGCTATCTTTCAGTATTCTAAATCAAATATTGGCAATGGAAACAAAACTCATTTTTGGGATGACATTTGGTACGGTTCTGAAAGATTAAGAGACAAATATTCCTTCATTTTTGCAATTGCTAGAAATAAATCGGCCATGGTCAATGAGGCTGCTGGTTCTTTATTCCTACCTCTTGGAGCATCCCGGTACTCAGGAACTTACAA